GATCGCAGCCTCCCAGGGATTGTGAGGTCGAGTTTGAGTCCGCGTAAGACGTCACTCCGCTGGAACCGCCAGCAGCCTTCGAAGCTGGCGACGGTGTCGCAGATCGCAGCCCCCCAGGGCTGGCGAGGTCTACAATGAGTCTGCGTAAAACGTCACTCCGCTGGAACCCCCAGCAGCCCTCGAATGTGGCGACAGTTTCGCCACCCCAGGGATGGCGAGATCTAGTTTGAAACCGCGTAGGACGTCGCTCCGCTGGACTCCCAGCAGTCCTCGAAAGTGGCGACATATTCGCAGACTGCAGCAACAATTTCGCAGATCGAAGCCCCCCCCAGGGATGGCCAGGTAGGAGGCAAGCACGCACGCAGGAAGGAGCGACAGTGCTCTGTTCAAAACGAGAACCCAACGCAGGAGGTTTGTGAAACAAACCTCTTCCCGGAACCCCGAAGTTTATAATCCCCAGGGGGTCATTTGTCAGGGGCAAAGGGTTACCCAATATCAGGAAAGAAGGGAGGGGCGAGCTGCAAGTTGCGCGTGAATCGTTCTCCTCATGTCAGGTCGTGGCTGTCGCCATTGTCATCTACAACCGGCAGAGGATCGCATTCTTAATGTTGTTTGTCTTTCTTCAGAGGCTCATAAAAGAGGTCTAGATAAGCGAATGTATATCATGATTACATGCTCCGTGTCTGAGCTGCTTCGCACCCCATATGTACAGAACATGTTGTGACAAAGAACATACCGCGGGCAATCGCATATGGCTCTAGACCTTGCCGATCTGCTACGGAACTCTGGCGAATGATTTGAGTCTGAGCTCTCTGGCTGCCAGCCTCCGTTTAGGATGCTTGACGGGCAGATGGGTTGGGCAGTTTCCCGAGACAGCCTGGCCACTCATCAGCCGAGATCGTGTGTCGCTCCGTTGGTGAAATCAGGCGGGAGTGCGTCGAAGCCTATGTTTTTCGATCGGCGCCATCACCTTGCAGTCACGCGTGCCGTTTCCTTGGGTACGGGACGAACAAAATACAGGAATAACATTCTTCGGTACTTCTACCTTTGGCCTCGCCAGAGCCGGTGGCCCAGCACCGATCCAAGAATCCGCGGGGACCTCCAAATGTTTATGTCTGTGTTATTGTTTCTTCGTTGGCCCAGGTTTGCCCACCGCGGGCGCAGTGGGGGCCGCGATCGGTGGTCCAGGCTGGAGAGCGGTGGTTTTGCAGGGGTCGGCGCGAGGGTTCGGGGGTTGGTAGAAACCCCACCGTGCAGAGTCTATCCAGTTGCCCGCGGCAAGTCCCGCCACCGTGCTGGCCTAGCATTCTGGTTGGCGACGGTTCGAGAGAGCACGGGACGCCGTCACGTGTAACATGTCATGTCTTCAGGATTGGGAGAGCCATGATAATGATAATGATGATAATCATGATGATGATGATGTTGATGGTGATGGTGATGGTCATGATGATGATGATGATGATGATGATGATGATGATGATGATGATGATGATGATGATGATGATGATGATGATGATGATGATGATGATGATGATGATGATGATGGCTATCCCTCCCCAAACAGTGTTTACGTTGAGGTGTTCTTGATTCCTTTATATGGGATTGGGCCTGTGCGTCGGCCTGACGGCTATGCTGTCGCCGTCGCTGGCCATCGTTTGGGCCTGTGCGTCTCTCTGGCGGCTATGTGATCGCCGTCGCCGCCCCGTCGACGCCTCGTCGCCGCCCGTCGTTTGGGCCTGGACGGCGGCCGCGGCTATGTGATCGCTGTCGCCGCCTCGTCGTATAGATTGCTCCGCATAGGTTGTGCCACATGTATTGAACCACGTATAGTGCATTACAACATATATATATATATATATATATATATATTCATATCTTGCACCACACATGTTGTTCCACGTTGCGCCAAACATATGGCTCCACATAGATTGCACCACATGTTTGCACCCCATGCAGTGCAACACATATATGTATGTTCCTTAGCTTGCGGGATAATCCATCTATGTTTGGCGGGAGCGCCGTGGTTTGCACAGTCATCAGATGAATTGAAACTCAGTTGATTCTGTGTCCGTAGTCCGACTGTTTTGCTCAAGCTGTTTTCTTGTCAGTCTATGGGCCTCCCCTGTCGCTACGTTGTGGGGGTTCATGTTGGGATCAGAAAAGCAGACCTGGCTGCAAGCGATGCAGCCCGTTCATGTGGATGTGGAGGTTAACAACACTGGTGTTTGTAACTGTACGTGTGACTCCCTCTCGCGCCTTTCGGGAAACGGATCTGTCAATCAGACGCACATCGAGAACCATTTCCACAGCCGTCTCCCATCCGAGCCCTTCTCGTGGATCAACCTCTTTTGCGTTCTACAGAGCGCCTGCTGTACCTCGGTGGCCGTCTGTGCTTGGTGCTGCGATGGCGCACGTCGGAGGACTGCCTCCTCTGATGGGGCCGCCCGCAGCGCCCCCGCCAGGACAGGGGCCAGCTCCTCCTGCGGTGCCCCCGTTGCAGATGCGCCTGGACGGGTGGCCACAGCCGACAAGTGCGGGGCTGTGCAGTTGGCGACGCCTGCTGGTCGAGTTCGTGGGGGAGGCGTTCTTACACGAACGTTTGGTGATTAAAGCACACCCCAACGGCGGCTCAGCCTGGATTGCGACGCCTGATCAGGACGAGTACGAGGAGGACTACCGTAACGATCCCGACATCGTGGGGGTCACCTTCCTGGATGATGCGGGTCGCCCTCCAGCGCCGCCCCACTTGCCGGTGTACGCCTTTCGGGCTGCCCCGACTCAGGCGGTCCTGCAGGCAGCGCTCGGCAACGCAGAGGTGCAAACTCAGCTGTTGGGCTGGGGCCAGCCTGTCGCGGCGCCGCAGGTCCAAGCGGGTGCGATCGGTGTCCCAGGCGCGGGGAAGTGGCTCCTGGCGGAGCCGTGCGGCAACATGAAGATCGGGGATGAGGCGCCTGTTGCTCCCACGGGCCCGTTCGCGAGCGTGAAGGCGGTGTCGACCTGCACGCTGCCGTCGGGCAACACCGTGGCCGTCTTCGTGGAGTGGGTGCCGACGCAGAAGGTTGGCAGCTGCAGGGATGACAAGATCGATCTCTACGCATCAGAGGTGAGTGATTGTCGCATTATGAAGCCCCGTTTCGAGCATGGCGTTCGCAGTCGTACCTTCAACGACGGAGTGTTGGAGTTGTTCGAGGAGCCTGACCTTGATGGCTTCCCGAAGGGTCCTCGCATCACGCTGGGCACCGCACAGAGTTTGAGGTCTCAGGGGCTGACCTGGCAGACCCAGGCTCGTGAGTGGCCCGTCGCGGCTCGCATTCCTCCTGGGGACAGGTCGGTGCACGAGTACAAGCTGATCTGTGAGGTTCTGAATGCGTTGCAGTGCATCGATCAGTGTAACCTGCCGAACCTGGTAGGGGCCGAGCTCCTGGTGAGGCGCAAGAGCGTGCTGGAGGAGGCACACGCCTCGTCTCCCAGCAACCCGGACTACAGCGCAGCCGACATCATGATGAGCTGGGCTGAGACGAGGGGCACGGGGAGCACTCCTGAGTCACTCATGAGCTACACCGCTAACAGGCTGAAGGACAAGGGAGCGATCTTGAAGGAGAAGAGGAAGGCAGTCGATGAGTCCAGGCTCGGGGGAAAAGGTCAGCCCTCGAAGGACAAGGACAAGGGCACCAAGAACTAGGGGGTCGAGCTCGACCCCTTGGGCACCCCCGCGGGTGCTTTCGTCGATCGTCGATCTCTGGCGATGTTCGACAACCGTGCTGCTCCTCGTGAGCTTCTACCTCTCCCCATGCCGCCTTCATGGTCTTCGCCGCCCTGGCCGAGGCATCGCTGCAGGAGGCTGCAGCAGCGCTTCGACCGCAGGAAGGCAGTTCTGAGCCGCGCCGTCGACTCCGTCAAGGCGCTGAATTGGTTGCATGGTGGGCGCCAGCCGCCAAGTTTTTCGAGTCCGACCCTGTCGCAGGCTACGGCTCTTCAGCACCTTCTGGACGTCCATCGGACTGACGTCCCGGAGATCGTTAATGCCGAGGCAGCCCGCGTGGAGTTGCTCGGCGCAGGACAGGACTACGCTGGTGGTCCTGAACTTCCCATCGCGAGTTACGACAAGGATCTGCTCTCCATGCCCCAGCTTGGGGCGGAGCCCGTCGACCTGTCCACGGTGCTGGAGGGCAGGGCCAGAGAATGTCTCGTTAACTTCGACGAGGAGATCTTGCACGGTCCCGACGATTGGGGCCATATTACTGAGTGTGAGGAGCATGTTAAACCGTATATGGATCCAGTGCTTAAGTCCGACGCTGACGCTTACTTCGACTTCGTGATGAGGGGTCACAGGTCTGGTTTGTTTCGCTTCGGCCGCACGTCCCATGTCATCGTCACCCCCTTCTTTGCGAGGAAGAAGGCTGGCACTTTGAGATTGATACTTGACTGCCGCCCGAGTAATCGCAGGATGCGTGAGAGCCCCTACGTTCGGCTGGGAGGGCCGGCTGATGTTGCTCGGCTACTGCACTCGCGCGGCGACGGGGACCCGTACGTGGCCCTCGGCGACGTGAAGGATTATTTTCATTGCTGCGGGCTTCCACCAGGCCTTAGTCCATATTTTTCCTTGCCGCCCGTGTCAGGTCTGCGACTTCTTCAGGCTGGTATTCACAATGTCGAAGGTCTTCCTGTTCCCCCAGGTGACAGCATCTTTCCACAGTCCAGGGTCGTTCCCATGGGGTGGTCTTGGGCCTGTTACTTTGCGCAGTCTGCTACGACGTCCCTGGTGCATCGTTTCTCGGGCTCCGAGGGTGACAGCTTCCTGGAATCCTGTAAGCCTCCTCCTGGTCTCGATCGGCCCGCTTACAACGTCTACATAGACAACATTAGCATCTTTGGCCAAGGTAAGTCACAGACCGATAGGATCGCCAACCAGGTTTTCGACGGGGTCGAGAGTGTCGGCTTTAGGGTTCACGAGCGCGCGTCTGCCAGCAAGTGGGCTCTTACGCTCGGCCTTGAGATCGACTTCTTGTATAGCACGGTCCAAGGAAAAAGGCAAAAGAGGTGGAAGTTGAAGGCAGTTTTGGATTGGTTGGCAGGTGCTCCGTACGTGTCGGGTAAGGAGATTGAGAGACTCCTGGGCCATACCACCTTCCACTTCGGTCCTAATCGGCTATTCTTGTCCATCTTTAACAATGCCTATGACTTCATTCGTTCGAGTTACACCTCTCGAGTGCGCCTCTGGCCCTCGGTGGCTAGGGAGCGCTGGGCCGCTGGGTGTCTTATCTCGTTCGCGTTCGCCGATCTGGGAAGGGACTTCGACCCGCACGTGAGCTGTTTCGACGCTAGTACGTGTGGGGCAGGGGTCGTCACGGCGCCTTGGGACTCGGCCCAGGTTCGTTCTGAATGCGAATGGGACGAGAGGTGGCGTTTCAAGTGGGATGTGTGCGATCGAGTTGCGCCCAGGGGCAACAACTTCTCATCGCTGGACTGGGGGGGCATCGAAAGCGTCAAGCCTTGTCGTGACAGGTCGTCGCTCTGGTCGCTGGACAAGTCGTTCAGAGAGGTCCCGAAAGAGAACCTCGTGGGCCCCACGTGGACCAAGGTCGTTCGGAGTTTTTGGAAGGACGAGGAGCCGATATTATGTCTGGAGGCTCGCGCGGGTCTGCTGGCGGTGCGTCATAAGTTACGGGCGGTCTCCAGTTTCGGTAAGACTCATCTACACCTTGGGGACTCCATGACCGCCATCCTGGTTTTCGAGGAGGGTCGGGCCAAACATCGAGGTCTTCTGGGTGCTTGCCGTCGCCTTTTGGCTCTGAGCGTGGCCTCCAACACCAGGCACCATTTCAGGTGGGTGCCGTCGGAGCTGAACCCGAGTGACCCTGATTCGCGCTACTTCGAACTTCCAGTTGACAGCGATGGCCGACGGTTGCTTCGTCGCTCCACGTCTCGGGCCTGGACGGTACAGGCTGATGGCAAGGGGAGCTGGCAGGCCGTCGATCCAGGCGGCGGTGCCTTCGCCGACGGCGGGCGTGGTCATCATGAGCCGCCTGGTGCCTTCGGCGGGCCCGACTGCCCTGACTGGGCCGCGCTCTCGGCGCCGCCCAGTGGCTGGCGCGCCGCTCCCTCGACCTCGCCGAGAGGCGGACCCGCTGGACACGGTGCTGGCCGAGAAGACACGTCGGTCGGCTCGACGCCTGGTGCTCAAGCGTCAGAGGGCGTTGAAGCGGGTTCGTGCCGTAGGGGGCGTGGTTCCAGCCCTGAGGGCTCTGAAGGGCGAGCGCGCAGTGCTGGAGAGCTCTCACCCGTCGACTCCCGTCAGGAGGGACTACTGTCGGCGGCTCGACAAGTTCTGGGAGTTCGGGCGAAGCCAAGGTCTCTTCTTGGCCAACCTGAAAGTTTGCGACGACGCGCTGTGCGACTTTGCCGACCTGCTGTTCCTGGACGGCGAGCAGGTCGACGCGGGGACCAAGCTCCTGGCCGCCCTGGAGGACCACGACGTGCAGCGGTTCGGCAAGCCCAGCCTTCCTCGGTTTCGACGAGTTCTTCGAGCTTGGCATCGGAAGGGGCCTGTGGGCAGCAGGGACCCTCTACCGTTCCGCCTCTTGGCGGGCATCCTGGGCGTCCTGTCGCTCCACGGCTTTCACGAGGAGGTGCTGGCGCTGGCCCTCATGTTATGCTGCTACCTGCGCCCGTCCGAGCTCCTGACGGTGGTCGAAGGCGACCTCCTCGAGCCGGTGGCCAACGCGGGCGTGGCCCTCGCGTGCTGGAGTCTGCTCCTGCGGCCGTTCGAGAGGGAGGAGCCGACCAAGGTCGGCCAGTTCGACGACACGCTCCCGCTCGACAGCCCCGACTTCCCCGGCTTAGGGGCCCTCCTTGCTGGCTTGCGCGGAGGGGGCGCGGAGGTCTGGCTCTTCAGTTTCAGCCAGACACAGCTGCTGCGCCGCTTCCAGGCGGCTTGTCGCGCGGCGGGCCTGGGCTCGCTGAACCTCGAGATGCACCAGCTGCGCCACGGAGGGGCGTCGAGGGATTTCCTGATGAAGACGAGGGAGATTCAGGCGGTCAAGCAGCGAGGGCGCTGGGCGAACGATCGCACCTTGCTCCGCTACATGAAGGCGGGCAGGGTGCAGAGGCTTCACAAGGCTCTGACGCCCGAGGCCAGCCGCTGGTGCCAGGAGGCGGAGGCCAACCTCTCGCTCGTCCTTCGCGGCGCGTGGCAGCCGCCCCTTCGGCCGCCAGGAGCCTGCCGCGGTCTCTCGGCGGCGGGTTTGTGATCGAGGTCTTCTCGGGCAGCGGGCGGCTGGCCAAATCCTTCGCGGAGCTTGGCATCCCGGCGCTGACCTGGGACATCGAGCACGACCCCGCTGGCGACCTGCTGGACAACGACGTGCTGCGCTGTGTGCTGTCGCACATCGCCTCGGGTAGGTGTCTTTTCCTCTGGTTGGGCACGCCGTGCACTTCTTTTTCTCGGGCCCGAAAAAACGACGGTCGCGGCCCTGGGCCTCTTCGGGATCCCTGGCACCTGGAGGGCCGGCCTGGGCTTTCTCCCTCCGACCTCGCTAAGGTCGAGAACGGGAACCGTCTTTTAGAGGTCTCACTGGTGCTAATGCGATGTGCAGCAGCTCACGGCGTCTCAGCGGTGTTGGAAAACCCTAACACGAGTTTTTTATGGGACATGCCTCAAATGCTGGATTTTCGATTATCTCATGACACTACGTTCACGGTGCTTCACTTCTGTCAGTATGGAGAGCTTTGGGTTAAGCCCACCCGTCTGCTCCTCCTGTCTTGCTCTCACCTTTCGGCCGTGGGAAAAACGTGCACTGGCCGCGGTGCGTGTTCCAGGACTGGAAAGCCCCACGTCGAGCTTCGGGGCAAAGACCCGACAGGAACCTTCTGGGCCCTCCGCGCCCAGCCTTATCCTCGCCAGCTTACTCGGGCCATTGCTTCACTGATGATATCTCACCTCATCAGTGCCGGAGGCTCTCCCTTTTAAGCCTTCGGCCAGAACGCTACTCTGGGGCGGGTGTGGGTGCTCTTTTGTGGCTCTTGGTGGTTGGTTGCCCCTCCGTTGCCTTTGCCTGGTGGACGTTGGCGGGATGACTTCGGGTCCCCGTCCACGCTCGCTGGGCCAGGGTAGCGGCTGGGCTACCAGCCCCCTGCCACTGCAAGATCTGTGCCTCTGGCGGCGATTTGTTTTACAGTCTTCGAGCCTCGGTGAGATGCTCTCTCTGGCGCGTGAGCAGAACGTGAATATGGATGTTCCTTAGCTTGCGGGATAATCCATTTATGTTTGGCGGGAGCGCCGTGGTTTGCACAGTCATCAGATGAATTGAAACTCAGTTGATTCTGTGTCCGTAGTCCGATTTTTTGCTCCCCACCCTCTTGCCACCCTTTCTTGGGGTGCTCTTTTGTGGCTCTTGGTGGTTGGTTGCCCCTCCGTTGCCCTTGCCTGGTGGACGTTGGCGGGATGACTTCGGGTCCCCGTCCACGCTCGCTGGGCCAGGGTAGCGGCTGGGCTACCAGCCTCCTGCCACTGCAAGATCTGTGCCTCTGGCGGCGATTTGTTTTACAGTCTTCGAGCCTCGGTGAGATGCTCTCTCTGGCGCGTGAGCAGAACGTGTATATGGATATATATATATATATATATATATATATATATACATATGTTGCTCTACGCAGAATGCATTATCCATATATGTGTTTATATGCACAGATATAAGTACATGTGTCACAACTTTCATTGCACAACGTAGATTGCACAAGCATGCATTGCTAGGCACACACTGTTTGGGGTCAACGGTGGCTACCATGCCTGCGAGTATGTGTATGTTGATGTCGAGGACGATGACGACGACGACGGCGAGGATGATGATGATGATAATAGTTATAGTGTTGATGGTGATGATGTGGATTATGATGATGTGGATCATAACGGTGGGATGAGGAGAACGAGGATTGGGAGGAGGAGGAGGAGGAGGAGAATGAGGAGGAGGAAGAGGAGGAGTGGGAGGAGGAGGAGAATGGCGACGATGAAGATGATGATGAGGATGACGATGACGATGACGATGAAGATGATGATGATGATGACGATGACGATGACGATGATGATAACAACGATGATGATGCGGCTGAGGAGGATGAGGAGGAAGAGGCGGAAGAAGAGAATCGCCGTCGCATATGACACCTTTTCGTCTTGACGATTTCGGGATCTATCATGGGGCTGTCTGGGCCTCATGTGAGGCAGTATTGGAGGTCCCTGGGGGGCGTCTTGGCGCCCCCTTACGACGTCTTGGCGTTCTCGTGGACCGCTTTGAAGCCCTCTTGGCCGTGTGGTGGGTGTCCGGGGGCCGTCGTGGGGCCCTTCTGTGGAGCCGAACGGCGTTCCAAGGCTGTCTTGGGTCCCAGGGCAGGCGCTTTTGGGTCGTCTTGGGGTCGTTTTTGATGCCTATTGGGCCATGATGCCACCTCGTCGGCCATCTGGGACCCTCTTGGAAACCGTTTCGGGGCCATCGTGGAGGCTTGGGCATCTTGAGGTGAGGGATGCCCGAAAACGCTGGAATGCCACAACTATGTATAAATCCAATGGGGATTAATGAGTTTTGCGTTTTCGTGTCCTGTTGGAAGTCCTCTTGTGGCCCGTTTGTGCCGTCCTCGAGGCATCTTGGGCCTAGAGGCCACAGTGGACCGCCTTGGGGTCATCTTGGGCCATCCTCGAGGCACCTTGGGCCATCTTGGTGTCTTTGGTTGCCTGCATTGGCAATCTCAGAACATCGGGACGCGTATGTTGCCTCAGGAGGGAGGCGATGCATGCATGGATCCGCACGTGAGGGGAGGGGGGTTCCCCACTTGAATACAGGAACCCTACCAGACAGCCCTTGGCAGTCTTCCAAGCATCAACGTGCACAGCGCGCGGTGGCGGTTGACGGAAAGTACTTTGGCTTGGACCGTTTGTTCTTTGGCAAAACATTTTTTTTCTGACGGGGAGGGTCTTCGAGGCAGGAGAAGCGAGTTGGACGTTCTGGCTGGATTTGTAACATATATAAAAATCATGAACATACAGACCGCTCGGGGCTCTAAAGGGCCAAGTCGTGGCGGATGAAGGGAAGCGTCTTCGAGGATCGAGAAATGACTTGGACGTTCAGGCTGAGCATGTAGTTTTCTTGAAGTATGAACATACGTACCGTCCAGGATCGCACATGAGTCAGCGTTGGCAGATTATTGGAAACGCCCTCGGATTCGAAGAATCGCGTGATGGACGTTGCTAACGGCCCTGGAGTGTCAAGCATATCTTTTTCAATTGGGGGGAGCAGAGGGAGAAGTGGTTCAGGATCGCTCCGTGATTCACGCCTGGCGGATGACGGGAAGCGTCTTCGAAAGGCCCTGGCTCGAGATGTTTCTTGCGTTTCTCGCGTGTCGGCGGGGTCGCAAACCCCCGCACAGCATGCATGCAGTCGATGGCGGGACATGGTTCGTTTCTCCTTGTCTTTTCGCCATCGCTAGCCGAAGTTACCCACGCTGGAGGGCCGAGCGCTCGGTGACGGCACGATCACCGTGGAGCTCCATGACATCGACTGACGCCGATGATGGGAGTGAGCCGGTACACAGCACAAGGAAATATCACCGCGCTTGCCGTGCCATTTTCGGCAGGGGGCGAGCGTGGCTGTTGTCCGATGTCTATGAAGGCCAGGGCTCTGTGGCAGGTCGACGCTATGGGGTTACTCATCTCGACGCAGCAGTTGCAACAGCCAAGGGAGATGCGTGGGTGTCCAAATGTCGAGACGCGTCGGGGCCTCGATCATATCCCTGCTTTGCTGTAGCCCGGTCATTTGGCACGAAAACGCTCATGATCATCCCGACGCCACAGGCCATCGCGCACGCTCAATGCCAGCCTACGGGCCGACGCGCCCGCTTCCTCGACGCAGCGGAGTTGAGGACCCTCAGCAAGGTCTGTCCCGGGCTTTACAACAAAGCGGACATCGCGCTCACCAGGTGGTTCGTGTGGGACCCGACTGCAGCCGAGTGGATTGGCTTCCCGTGCGTCTACATCCGATGGCTTGCGGTCGACTACTAAAACCAAATCCGTGACTTTCGGATCAAGCAGAATTGGAAGTTGGCGCAGTGCTCCTCCGTGGCCCGTGATAGCCGACAGTGACCGCAATGCTTAAATTTGGCCAAGTCTTGCGCTCTCGCCCTAGCGACGTTTCAGTCGTTGCACAAATTAGTTTTGTGCTTTTCCAACGCTAGCGCGTTTCTTACTTTTTTCTTGTCCTGTGGCCTGCTGCGTTGGTGACTTCGAGTTTGACTCGGCCCGCAGCCCGCAGACAGGCGGTCGATCTGTCTGTCTGCCGCCCTCGTTTCGCCATCCTGGAGCGTTGCCGACTTTGCACTGCCGGCAAGGGCGGTTCCAGCGTTTGGGTGCCATGCTGCTCCGCGCCTACCGCGTTGCGCCGCTTGACTTCCCATGCCTGCCACCGGTCCTTTGGCCAGAGGGCCAGGTGCTGATGCGCGAGCCTCCCACCAGAGGGCGGTAGCTTCGCGCGCGACGCTTCGCGCGCGACGCCGGTTGGTTCGCACGCGCGCGGGTCGACCACGCGGTTGGCCTTGCGTTGCCATAGATTGCGAGACCTTTTGGTTCGGGGTTGCGGCATCAAAAACGCGTCTTCGGGGAACGAGAAGCGAGTTCGTCGCGTTAGCTGATTTTTTGGTCTCGTTAAAGGCACGAGGATACATGCCGTTCGGGGCCGCGTCTGATCAAGCGTTGGCGGGCGTCGGGAAGCGCGCCCAGACTCAAGGAATCGCGCGATGGACGTTGCTATAGACCCGGGGAGAAATTCAAGTGGGCAGGGGCAGGATGGGGAAGGGCCCCACGTTGCTCCGTGACACAATCTGGGGATTTATCTTTGAGATCTCATCCGCATCCTGTCTGTCCTTGTTGACTTGTTGGGAACATCGCGCCCTGGCAGTCGTACGCAGCCCATGCTCGAGTCTGCCTCGGTCACGTTCCTGGCGAGGGCGTCTCGTCCAGAATCGGCGAGTGCCCGGCAGGGAATTCCAGCGAACTGCGTCGAGGACTCTGTGATCATCATCGGGCTGCACTTCCAACAGACGGCCCTGCCATGGCGAAAACTTCACGCAAATCAATCCAAGCATTCCTGGATGTGCGGACACTGATGCTTCCGCAAACTGAGACCACGCTATGTTGTCATGGACCGCCGTCGTCAATGCATATAACGCTCCTCCATATCGAGGGTGTAGGTGTTTTCTCTGGGCCCACCATCTGTGCCGACACCACCACTTGGACGAAGGCGGAATCGCAGCCTTGCGCAGCAGCGTCGCAACGTTTTCAGGCACCGGCGTCAGTATCGGCGAAGCCCAATACCGCAACGGTTTGATATCACTGACAGCCAATATTTTGTTGCGCCTCCAGGAATGCTGCCGACAGTCGCGACTGCCTGTTACACCTTCTCCCACTCCATGCGGGATCAGATAAGATTACCATGATCAACAGGTCTTGTTCGAACTCCGAAATGCTCCACTAGTGCTGGTGGATCATCTTCTTTGGTCCAAACCTGTCTTTTTTGCGTGGTTCTCGACGAAGCCACAATCCAGGTCGAAGGTCGTCGTCGCGTGGAAGTCGTCTTCTAACTGCTCTGTCGTTGCACCTGCGAGACCCCTGTCGCCCGTGTGCGCCTGTCCTGAGAACGGCCTCCGCGGTGCAAGAGAACTTGCCATTGCTGCTGGCTCAATAGATTCACCCCGTGGCAACCCACGCTGAGGTGCAACTGGGGCAGAACATGCCCCACCCACGCTTAGATAACGAGGGCCAGCCCAAGCTGCCAAAGCCGCGTACACCGCCACCTCAGGGGCACCTGAGGCCAACAACCCAGTTCCCCCCACTTCATGACTGATGGAGTCGTAGGCGCGGGACAGGTCTTGTCCCGCACTTGCATCTGCTTGTGTACAGTCGGCAAGCCATTGAGATGTGCAACACTCACTCCCCGCTTCCTAGCCCATTGAGCATCGCTCGGTTGTGGTAAAGCCATCGCCAAAGTGTTCAACCAGCGCCGCATCACAATAGAACCGCATGAAAGCGCCCTCAAGTCCGATTGATTTTCTGTGAGACCCACCGCTCTCCATGGAAAGATCTGGGGCATAGCTTCTTGTGGTAGGTGCCCTCGGAGGTGCGCGGCATATTGGGAGGTAGCAACCCATACTTGTTGCAGCTCCTTGATGATCTCTGGACAAGCTTCCTCTATGATCTTCATTTTCTTAGCCTCCCAGCCATGGAACCCCGCTGACCCCGACGCCTTGTCTACCACCTGCTCGAAGGACTCTAGACTCGATATCCAGTCGCTCGCATGACTATATCATGGGAGTTGTACTTGTGCGACATGGCGCTTCCAATTCTGAAGGTGCTCTCGGGCATACTCAGGATCAGTCGGACACCACTGAGCTTTCCAAGTTTCCCACATTTCTTCTGATCCGAAACGCGCCCGGGGTGCCGATGCTCTGAACAATGGCGTCGACAATCTATACAGATCCGCACTCCAGGTCGCAAAGCGTTTCTTCCACTCCGACTTCTTCTGCTTCCAAACATTGACATGATCCGTTGTGATTCCAGTATAGATCATATCGAGCGCTTCCGCATGCGCAGGAATACCTTCGCCCCTCTGAGGAATCAGATCATCCACCGCTGCTTGCGCGAAACTCTTGAGGTCGCGCCCATCCAATACATCAAGGAGATATGGTGGCTGCGCACTCCGCGCTGCATGAAGGAAACGACGATGCAACCGAAGTAGGTGCCGCAAATTGATTGCCTGGTCGACGCGGTGGATGGCCCCCGAGCCCACCGGCCTAAAGGAAGCAGGTGGGCCATTCCTTTCAGGCTGGCGGTCCACCACAACATGGTCACGTTCCGCTGCAATCTGAAGTGCTTCTTCAGCTGTTTGATGCCGCAACCTCCACTTGCTCACAGCCGCGTCGGCTGTCATCGCCAGGTCGTACTGTTGCGGTGCACGTTGATCAATTTCTAGTTGAAGCTCCTCTCGGACTTCCTGTGGTGGCATACGCTCGAGAACCTATCTTGTTGTGTGATGGAGCCGCATTGTTCTACGAGCATATACAGGCACTTGGATAGAATACCTGACCAATCCATGATGTGGAACGCCAGGGGGTAGCTCAGCACCTTCACGCGATGGCGAAATACAGTTCAAGGGCCCGAAGACTGGCTGGGCCACCACGGGGGGGGGGCATCATATTAAGGATCTGCAGCGTCGCTAACATCATCATCCTCACCGTCGTTAGTATCACCGCCATCATCATCACCGTCATCACGCAACCAGCAGTTGTCATCATCGTCATCACCATCATCTTGGTCACCATCGCCATCATCGTCATCACCATCATTATCATCATCAGCATCACCATCATCATCATCCACAGCGGTTTCGGCTCTCGGACGCGAGTAGCTCGCTTTTGCTTTTCGCGCCCCCCACCCTCCCCCCCCAATCGCCAGCAGCCGCCATGGGCGAGAGGGCAGGCGACGCGGGGGCCCCGTCGCCTGCGAAGAAGGCGGCGGCCGCGGCGGCCTCAACAGCCGCCGCCTCTGGCGCGCCGCCCGCCGCTGCCTCTGGCGCGCCGCCGGCCCTGTGCATCGCGCAGCTCCTGGAGACGGAACGCGCGTCGATGCAGCAGGGTCACGTCGTGGAGTGGTTGCGCCAAGTGAAGCACTGCGTCGACCATAGTTTGCTCAGCTCCCCGGGGCAGCGCACGCGCGAGGCGCCCTTCGCGGTGCCGGCCAAGTGTTCATTGATTTCGCCGTTGGCCATCGCTGATGCTGCCTCTGGCGCATACCTCAGTTCGTTTCGCGAGGTCATGGACTAAGACAGCATGGTTGCGAGCTTCTCCCGCACCAAGGAGTACAAGGCAGCGGGGGCGGCGTGGATGTTGGACCCGATTTGCTCGGACATCGACGACGTCACTGTGGGCCTGCTCGAGGGCGCCATGGGCGCGTGGTCGGAGGAGGCGCGCCCCCTCTCCTCCAAGCACGCGCTCTCGCGGCGCCTCCCTCCCCTTCGACTCGTCTATCCCCGCCATGGTGGTCGACGTCATCGCCCAGCGGCTTGAGCCTGACAAGCCTGGAGTTTGCTTGACAGAGGCTCTGACCATGCTCGCGGGGCGCGCGGTGGTCACCACGTGGCATGCTGCTATGGGCGAGGCGCTCCAGCAGTCCAGCGAAGACCGCGCGTGGCATCTGTTCAATGCCGCGTTGTCCGTGCCCATCAGGATGCGCTTGCTGGCTGATGGCGACGCGACCCACTTGGCCGCCCTGACATTTTCAGAGAAGATGTTCTCTGCGCGTGCTGCCTCTGGCGCTGAGTCCTTCTGGCAGTTCGCAGAAAAAACGCGCCGCTTGACCAGCGCGGAGAACTGTTTCGCCAAACAAGAACCAGCGTCGAAGCTGGAGGCCGCGCTGAAGGCCCACGGCCTCCAGTTCAAAGGAAAAGCGCGTACCGCTGCAACCGCCGCGGCGCTGAAAGGTCTACACCCTTTCGCCCTCGACGGCGCCTGCAGTTCGGCTTTCGCGCTGGCCGAAGTGCAGTTCCCAGAGCTTCGCGAACCTGCGCTTCTCGTGGGGATCGGCGTCGCCTGCTCCACGAGGGCTGTCTTTGACGCCAAGGTCAGGGTTTGTTCGTTTTCATCATGAACGGTTTCCGCGTGGCCCGCTTGACGGGCGACGCCCCGAAGGACGAGAAACCGTCCGTGATCCGGGTCATCGGGCGCGATGGGAAGGCGCCAGCGATGCTCCACGCTCTCTTCAAGAAAATGGAGCTCGTCGAGTGCATCTTCCACGCGGCGCTTCTCATGGACAAGGGAGTGGGAAACGACATGGCGGCATTTAAGACGCCTCTCCACATCCTCCAGAAGTTCGATGCCTCTGGCGCGGATGGGCTCGTGGCATCGCACCGCGCGTCCGACTCAGGCGGCGGCGCCGACGAGATGGAGACATTGTTTGCGCTCCACGTGGCTGAGCATCGGGACGCCGTGGATGTCAAGACGGAGGCGATGATCGATGTCGCGTGGCCTCTGTGTTCGAGCGCTTTCGACGACGAAATTGCCGAGCTTGCCCAGCAGGAGTTGCAGTGCAGCACCACTGGGTTCGTCTGGCGCACGCACCTCACCGAGACCAGCCAGGGCGTTGGTGCCAGGTACCGCGCCTTCGTGGCCGCGTGCACGGGCGGGCCGATCCCCGCCGACCCCGAGCTGGATGCAAATCTCGTCTTGTCGGGGATGTCCGAGCTCGGGGGCGAGCAAAAGGAAGAGCTCCAGAAGCTCCAGGAGCAGCTCAAGCAGCTGCGCAGGAGAACTCTGGAGTTCGTCACTTTGCCGTCTGTCGGCGCTGCCTCTGGCGCGGAGTACGCAGTGGCGCAGATGCAGAGTTTGTGGGGTGTGCTCAGCCTCGGGCGCTGCTTCGGGCGGAAGAAGAACGACGTTCGCGCGTTCATCCTCTCAGCGGAACTGTTCCCGCGCAACGTCGTCAAGCAAGGCGGCAAGGCGAGGATGAGCGAGCAGATGGCGTGTGACGAGGCGAAGTCCAAGCGCGTCATCGAGTTCTTCTTGCAGAAGAGGCAAAAGGATGATATCCTCATCTTCCTCGACGGCAGGAGCCGCGCGAACCGCCGGGTCACTGAGTCCTTCGAGACGAGGCTGGAGTCAGGAGGCCCCCGCGCGCACGTCGAGTGCCGGTTCGTGCACGAGCAACCGACGAAGAAGGAGGGCCCGCGGTCCGCGGCCAGGGCGTCGAGCTACACGAAGAACAACAGGGGGGCGGCCATTTTCTCGATGCCACTCAAGGGCCCGCCGCGGAAAGTGGTGCACCGTGCGGAGTTCAACGCGCGCGGGGAGTCCTCGACCGCAGACGCGTCATACAGCGGCATCCCAACGCGGCGTTTCTCCGAGCTCCCTCGCATGGACCACGAGACGAAGACGAGCATCTTGGGAGCTGCATCTTGCGCTAGCGTTGACAGGAGGCATCCGCGCCTGCAGGGGGCATCGACTCGAAGGGCCACCCGTTCTCGCGCAGCGAGGTGAAGCCGCGCAGCCTGTGGCAGACTCTCGTGGAGCACCACGAAGTGACCCGCGTCGTGGACTTCACTCCAGGTTCTGGCGCTTTGGCCGTTGCTGCCTCTGGCGCAATGGAGTGCGAAGGCATCGCTGCCAACGATGCGCGCCGGGACAGGCTCGACTCCATCGTGGACAGGCGCGCGATGCACATGGTGGGCCACGACGAGGGGCGCGCGGAGCAATTGGGCGGCGACGCCGAGTTCGTCGAGAAAGCCAGCAAGTGTTTCAGCGGAACCACGATGGAGGCAAAACGTCTGCTGATGCCAGTGGCCGGGGACGGCGAGGATGAGGAGGAGGAGGGGGATGGCGCGAGCTCGAGCGACGAGTCGGCGGGCATTTGACACACTGCCTCTGGCGCGCCACGGCGCTGCCTCTGGCGCGCCCGCTGCCGCGTGAGAGGTCGCTCGGGCATTCGTTTCCGAGAGGGGCCCAGTGGCATCGGTTCTGGGGGGTGAGTTCTGCGGCGGCGCGCGACAGTGATGTAGGCCCCGCGGCTGTCGGCGGCGTCGGCTCTTCTGAGGCGTGAATTCTGCGGCAGCGCTCGGCTCGGAAATAAGGATGTCGCAGCCGCTGCTGCCATCGCCGCAGGTCGCGGCGGTGGCGATGTCGCCGTCGTCATCGCCATCGGCGCAATCATGCTATTTGCGGTTCTGTACCGTCATGTTCTCATGGTATTGGTTACCATATCCCGCGTCTCTTGCTCAGTTTTCCGATGGTCGCGCTTAGTTTTCTCATGGTCGGGTTTAGTTTTTCTTGGTCGGGTTTAGTTTTTCTTTGGTCGGGCTGAGTTGTTCTTTTGGTCAAGTTTAATTTTGTCGGATTTAGTTTTCCCCTGGTCGGGTCTAGTTGTTCCTTGGTCGGGTCTAGTTTTCCCTATGTCGGGTCTAGTTTTCTTTTGGTCAGGTCAAGTTTTTCTTTGGTCGGGTCTAGTTGTTCCCTGGTCGGGCCGGGCGTAGTTTTCCCTTGGTCGGGTCGAGTTTTTCTTTGGTATGCTGTAGTTGTTTTTGGGGGCCGGGTCTAGTTTTCAGAGGAAAATTGTTTCCTTGGTCGGGTCTAGTTTTTCTTTTGGTCGGGTCGAGTTTCTCTTTGGTCGGGCTTAGTTTTCCCTTGGTAGGGTTTAGTTTCCCCCTGGTTGGTTTTAGTTGTTCTTTGGTCGGGTTTCGTTTTTCTTTGGTCGGGTCGTAGTTTTCCCGTGGTCGGGTCTAGTTTTTTTCCTTATATATATATATATATATATATATATATTGGTCGGGTTTAGTTTTTCTTGTGGTCGGGTTTCGTTCTTCCCTGGTCGGGGTCGTTTTCCAATGGTCGGGTCTAGTTTTTCTTTTGGTCGGGGTGCAGTGTTTCTTTGGTCGGGTCTAGTTTTTCCTTGGTCGGGGTTAGCGTTCCCCTGGTTGGGTTTAGTTTTTCTGTTCTCCTGGTTTAATTGTTTTCGGTCGGGCATGGTTTTCCCTTGGTCGGTGTTTGTTTCCCCTTGGGCCGGTTTAGTTTTTTTTTCTTTTGGTCGAGTTTAGTTGTTTCTGGTCGGGGTTAGTTTTTCCGTGGTCGGGTTTAGTTTTCCCTTGGTCGGGTTTAGTTTTTTTGGTCGGGTTTAGTTTTTCCCTGGTCGGCGTCCGTTTTCCCATGGTCGGGTTTAGTTTTCCCATGGTCGCGTTTAATTCTCTTGCACAGGGTGTCTAGAGCTCCGACCACTTTATTTCGGCCCCCCCCCCCCCCCCCTTCATCATCATCATCATCATCATCATCATCATCATCATCATCATCATCATCATCATCACCATCACCATCATAATCACCATCATCATCATCATCCACATCATCATCATCATGCGCCCCCTCCGTCTCAGCGCCCCCCCGCGGCCCCAGCGCCCGCCCAGCGCCCCCTCCGCCCCGACCACTTTATTTCGGCACCGCACCCCCCCCCCGCTCCGCCCCCTCCCCCGCGCCGTCTCAGCGCCCCCCGCGGCTCCAGCGCCCGCCCGGTGCCCCTCCGCCTCGACCACTTTATTTCGGCACCGCACCCCCCCCCGCTCCGCCCCCTCCCCCGCGCAGTCTCAGCGCCCCCCCGCGGCTCCAGCGCCCGCCCAGCGCCCCCTCCGCCCCGACCACTTTATTTCGGCACCGCATCCCCCCTCCCCGCTCCGCCCCTTCCCCCGCGCCGTCTCAGCGCCCCTCCGCGGCTCCAGCGCCCGCCCAGTGCCCCCTCCTTTGCACCCGCCAGGGGGGTTGCGCCCGCCAGGGGGGTCGCGCCCGCCAGGGGGGTTGCACCCGGGTGCCAGGGGGATCGCGCCCGCCAGGGGGGTCGCGCTTGCCAGGGGGGTCGCAGCCCGCCAGGGGGGTTGCACCCGCCGGGGGGGTCGCGCCCGCCAGGGGGGTTGCACCCGCCAGGGGGGTTGCACCCGCCAGGGGGGCTGCGCCCGCCAGGGGGGTTGCACCCGCCAGGGGGGGTGCGCCCGCCAGGGGTGTTGCGCCCGCCAGGGGGGTTGCGCCCGCCAGGGGGGGTGCACCCGCCAGGGGGGTTGCGCCTGCCAGGGGGGTTGCACCCGCCAGGGGGTTTGCACCCGCCAGGGGGGTTGCGCCCGCCAGCGGGGTCGCGCTCGCCAGGGGGGTCGCGCCCGCCAGGGGGGTTGCACCCGCCGAGGGGGGTTGCACCCGCCAGGGGGGTTGCGCCCGCCAGGGGGGTCGCGCCCGCCAGGGGGGTTGCACCCGCCAGGGGGGTTGCGCCCGCCAGGGGGGTTGCACCCGCCAGGGGGGTTGCGCCCGCCAGGGGGGTTGCACCCGCCAGGGGGTTGCACCCGCCAGGGGGGTTGCACCCGCGGTGGGGGTGCACCCGCCAGGGGGTTGCACCCGCCAGGGGGGTTGCCCCGCCAGTTGCGCCCGCCAGGGGGTTGTTGCACCCCAGGGGGGTTGCGCCCGCCAGGGGGGTTGCACCCGCCAGGGGGGTCGCGCCCGCCAGGGGGGTTGCACCCGCCAGGGGGGTTGCGCCCGCCAAGGGGGTTGCGCCCGCCAGGGGGGTTGCACCCGCCAGGGGGGTTGCACCCGCCAGGGGGGTTGCACCCGCCAGGGGGGTTGCGCCCGCCAAGGGGGTTGCGCCCGCCAGGGGGGTTGCACCCGCCAGGGGGTTGCGCCCGCCACCCCGCCAGGGGGGGTGCACCCGCCAGGGGGGTTGCGCCCGCCAGGGGGGTTGCACCCGCCAGGGGGGTTGCACCCGCCAGGGGGGTTGCGCCCGCCACCGCGAGGGTGGGGTGCGCCCGCCACCCGCCAGGGGGGTTGCACCCGCCAGGGGGGTTGCGCCCGCCAGGGGGGTTGCGCCCGCCAGGGGGGTTGCACCCGCCAGGGGGGTTGCACCGCCAGGAGGGTTGCACCGCCAGGGGGGTTGCACCCGCCAGGGGGGTTGCTTGCGCCCGCCAGGGGGTGCACCCGCCAGGGGGGTTGCGCCCGCCAGGGGGGTTGCACCCGCCAGGGGGGTTGCGCCCGCCAGGGGGGTTGCACCCGCCAGGGGGGTTGCACCCGCCAGGGGGGTTGCGCCCGCCAGGGGGGTTGCGCCCGCCAGGGGGGTTGCACCCGGGGGGTTGCGCCCGCCAGGGGGGTTGCACCCGCGAGGGGGGTCGCACCCGCCAGGGGGGTTGCACCCGCCAGGGGGGTTGCGCCCGCCAGGGGGGTTGCGCCCGCCAGGGGGGTTGCACCCGCCAGGGGGGTTGCGCCCGCCAGGGGGGTTGCGCCCGCCAGGGGGGTTGCACCCGCCAGGGGGGTTGCGCCCGCCAGGGGGGTTGCGCCCGCCAGGGGGTTTGCACCCGCCAGGGGGGTTGCGCCCGCCAGGGGGCTGCACCCGCCAGGTGCACCCGCCAGGGGGGTGCGCCCGCCAGGGGGGTTGCACCCGCCAGGGGGTTTGCACCCCCAGGGGTTGGCGCACCCGCCAGGGGGGTTGCGCCCGCCAGGGGGGTTGCGCTCGCCAGGAGGGTTGCACCCGCCAGGGGGGTCGCGCCCGCCAGGGGAGTCGCACCCGCCAGGGGGGTTGCGCCCGCCAGGGGGGTTGCGCCCGCCAGGGGGGTTGCACCCGCCAGGGGGGTTGCGCCCGCCAGGGGAGTCGCACCCGCGAGGGGGGTCGCACCCGCGAGGGGGGTCGCACCCGCCAGGGGGGTCGCACCCGCCAGGGGGGTCGCGCCCGCCAGGGGGGTCGCAGCCCGCCAGGGGGGTCGCAGCCCGCCAGAGGGGTTCGGTTCGGTTCCCGTCGGTTCGGTTCAGGGGCCGCCCGGTTCCGGTTCGATTCCGGTTCTGGTTCGGTTCGGTCCTCGCCAGTTCGGTTCTGAATGAATTCGGTTCGGTCCGGTTCGGTTTTCTACGTTCCTGGTTTTGGACCGGTTCGGTCCAGTTCGGTCACGGTTCTCGGTTCTCGGTTCGGTGCGGTCCCTTCATGCCTACGACCCGACACGACCAACCACGGTGCGCTTCCCGCTCCACTTCTTGCTGACCCTCCCGGCCTCGCCGCCCCCGGCCCCTCTGGCCTCCCTCTCCCAGCGACTTCCCCTGGCGATGTTCCGATGGCGGCGCGGTCTGGCGCACCCATTCCGACTCCAGTCGCCCCACCTCCCGGACCTCCGACCCCTGTTGCAGGCATGGCCACTCCTGAGGGCCCTCCTGGTGAACCCGAGTCGCCATCACATGAGGCAGCATTGGCATGCGACATGAGCGCCATGAGCGAGCTTGACGATGACGACGACGATGACGATGGCTTCATTGTTACAGGGATGCGGGGCCAAATCGAAGAGCCAGGAACAGGCGCCGACAATGAGGACGAAGAAAGATTTGAAGATGTAGATTTGGCTCCTATCCGACCACCACCTGATGCCGTTCAGGCGACTCGTAGTCTATTGCGCGTGTTAGGGCGTATTCCAACTGGGTCTGACGTCACGACAATGCAAACTGTTATTGAACGACACAGATGGTCGGGCTTCAATGTACCGATATGTTTGGCAGTGGCAGGGACATCAAATGACGTGCCTTTTATCGCTTGGCTGGAGAACCGGATTAGAGTGTTCGTTAACGAATTCCCAGATTTCCACGAGCTCGTCGATGCTGGTGCTGCCCGGGGTGCTTTCGACAATATGCGGATTGGAATGCGACATATTGGCATTGTGGATAAGGATTCTCTATGTGCGTGGTTAACGGCGAACGACCATACGAACAATGTGTTTGCGCAAGATGCTTATTTCAATGGAAGGTTACAGGAACGGCTTTGGGACAACATTGCGCAGGTTACAGCGGCAGCTCGCCGAATGGAGACTGTATATTTCGCGATTGCAGTGGGCATGCACAAAGCTCCAGATATACGCGACTA